CTTGCTGCAGTGTTGTACTGCAAACAACTTTAACCATAGATGGTCAAAAGTCTCTTTCCTTAGTAAATTTTCTTATTCTGACAGGATATCCAGTACCTATAAAATTGTCTCATTATTTATTTATCACCTATGACTCTTCATTCATTCATTTTGTAATTTCACTGTCTCTAGTACTTTCCCTAAAAACAGCTTCTCTATATACACATCATTCTTCCCTTGTTTATGTTGCTAAAAATCAGAAGTATTTCACATTAAGTTCACGGTGTCTCATCTGTGCAACTTACAGAAGAGTCATGAACAGGAGCTGTAAGCAAGTCATGGATTTAGCCTGGTGTAAAAGTGATGTGGGGTGATTGTGTTCTCTGAATGTGTTTCTGGAGGGAGTATAACATAGACAAATAAGTATTTAATAATCATCAGAAGTAATTCACAAATAAAACCAGTAAAATCTAGGGTGCATGGAGCTGATGGAGATCTTTAAAGGTTTTGTTTCAAATTCTTCTGGTCCTAGAAGAGAATGAAGACAGAAATGTCTGGCATGTGTCAAACCCCAAATTGTGTGTTATTTTCTGCTGCTTACAAGATTACATTACAAACTGAACTTGATATTCTTTGTGTTTGTTAAGGCAAAATTGGCTGCTAGAGGCACTCTGGGAACGTCTTTGTCCCCGCATGGCAGTGTCTGGTGAACAGCTGTGCCACTGGTGCTGTGGTGGGAGTGTTCCCTGGAGATGAGGACTTCTGTCCCTTCTGCCTTGTCCTTCCTGTGTCACCCCACATGTGGTCACCATCCCCGAAATGCTCTGTGTTTTGGCTCCCTCAGGCTCTGGGCCTCTGCATTTCCCCTTTCCTATCCTCACTGTCCCCTCTCCTCCATGCGGGTCCCGCTGGGCTCCTGCCCGTGACCCCATGCCCTGTGGCTCAGCCTTTCCTGTCACCACTGCTGTAGACCAGAGCCTGCCAAAATCACTCTCTGCTGTGGTCTCTCCCCTTTTCTGGATAGCCCAGATTTGGGAGGCCTGGGCTCCCCGGTGTTTCCTGATGGCTGGTGCTAGGCCGCAGCGTGTGGAGCCAGGAGGAGCTGGCCGAGCTCCTGGCAGGCTCTCTCCCTTCCCTGGCTGCTCCACCATTGCCCAAATCTATGGATTTGGTCTTTTAAAGCCATGCAAGCCATTTGTGGTGAGCTGCTGTCTGCAGTCATTGGCCTGCCTTGGTTTTGGTGCCTTGTTTGTGGCGCTGGTGTCAGCAGGGCTGGCACAGTCCAACACAAAGATGAGGTGACACCAGATGAGGTGACAAAGATGAGGCCAGGAGGTGAGAAAAAAATACAGCTATCACAAAATATGGCCAAGTAGGTCCCTAATTGTGCACGGCACACATTTATTGACTTCTATTGATATGTAACCCCAGACACCTCTGAAGTCATCTTCCAAGTTGCTATGGGCAGAGGAGGAGAAGCTGTTTGGTGCTCCAGGAAGGCAGTGGGACAGTTCCAGCTGAAGATGCCACTGAGGACATGAACATTTTTGGCACCAGCATGGCTGACAAAAAGCACCTGGTTACCACGGTAACCCCAGCAAGTGCTTCTCAGGCACGTTGGAAATCAGGACTTCATTGCGCCTGGCAAGCCTGGCACAGAGGGGCTGCAGAATATGCCATCTCCAAAACTGAATTATCTCCCTTCTCTGGGATACTTATCACTGCCTCAATTTCACAAATCATTAACACCAGTGTTGCTTCAGGTTTAGAGGATCTCCCAGTGCCATTTCAAAATATTTGTGAAGAGGATAATGAGCCAGATGCACCACCAGCAGAAGCAGCCTCAGCTGAGCCACCACTGGTGGAGCTGCACTGCCGCATCTGCAGTCATCCCAAAGCACCTATGTAATCAGAATAAAGACGACTACCTAAATAGATGGTGCTGCACGGGTGGGATTATACAGTAAGCAAGTATGTCAATAATTTTTTCTTTCAATTTACCAAAGCACAATGCTGAAAGGCAACCAAGGACCTTTGGAGATATGTGCTCTGCATTTTGTCAGTATTTGAAAGAAATATTCTTGCTGTTCAATTGCTGTGACTTCAACAGCAGCCATCCTATATCTCCTGGGTAGGGAATACAGAGCCAGATCTATAGATGTGGCTGTACCTATTAAAGGACGGGTATCTGCCATTTAGAAGTTGCTGTAATTTAAGTTGCCTCTCAGGAGCTACTGAAGCCAGCAGGTGAATGAGTCCCCTCAGAACCCAGGCTGCTGATGTTGGCAGCTTGCCTGCGTCCCACGGCCAGACGTGGTGCTGGAGGCCCAGCCTGGCTGCATCTTCCCTGAGCAGCACCAGCACCATCACTCTGCCATGCTGAGCCTCCGAGTACATGTGGCACCAATGGAACTGGAAATCTCTGACTTGGTTCTTCACTCTGTCCTCTTTGTATCAGTTAGACAGAAAGCAGAGATAATTCCATACGATCTAGCTTTGCCTTCTGTGAAAGATGAAGTTCTACTTAAAAATACATTTATTGTTAATTTGAATGTTGAAGTATGATAAAGCTGTCAAAAACAAAACAAAACAAACAAACACAAAACACTGAAGTCTCAATTACTTGGATACTGTATTTTGGGTTGCTTAGGCACAAAACATTTTTTCAGAAAGATATCACTCATACAATGTACTTGATGTACTTCATCTGTGCGAGGATGCTATGTTGGCTTGGAGTGAGTTGACAACATGTTTAAGAGTGAATTTAGATTTTGGAAGGACATTGTTAATTACAGCTCTTTACGGGACATTAAAGTCATCAATTAGGCAAACTCTTACTCTGCAACAGCAAAAACAAGGTAAACTGAATTCTGAAAAGAAAAAAAAGATGCGTTTAATGACTCATGTGTACACTTGATAAACTTGCACAATCAAAATGAGGATCTTGGAAACTGGAGTTGCAAAGTCTGCACAATATTTGGGGAAGCAGCATTTAAGTAACAGGATGACTTTTCTAGTGAGATGTTTCAGTGTGAAACTGTAGTGCCCCTAATGCTAATGGAGCTTGTTAAGTCCAATTATACATTGGGGTTGGCAATCAGACAATTTTAGGTAATTAAAAAGGCAATGTCTACAGAAAAAAAAAAAAAAAAAAAGGATTTTTTGTTTGTTTGTTTGTTTTTGAAAGCAGAGGAGCCACGTTGCTATACACACCTTATATTAGTTAGTGTATGAGATGGCCCCAAAGGGAAGACAAAGAGCCATTGAGAGAGAAAATACCTGGAGTCACTGGAGAAACTTCAAATTTGCTTTGTGAATAAAGCTGAAATTGGCTTATTCCATCAAATACTCCCTTTTGAAATGGGAGAGCACCCCTGGCTTCAGTAGTTCTGTCCTCATGACCACTGAGCGACGTGGGCCTAACCTGGGCAATGCACTGCAGTCTTTGGAAAGAATTATCTTCATATTAACTCATTACAAGAAGAGAAATCCCAGAATTTGGCACAGGGGAAGGAAAATTAATAGAAAAAATATCTGTATCTTCTTACAAGCACATTCTGGAACATGGCACATCCTGGAAATATTAATTCACACTATTTATTTAAGCAAAAGCAAAAGATTTCTGACTGGCTGGGGACGGAACTTCCCTAATGCAGAACAGCTCAGATACCCAATAAAAAACGGTGCTCGGATTAAAATATTAGAAAGTCTAGGTAAAAATGACTTCATCTTGGTGAGACTGTGACATGAAATCACCCGAGCTTAATTGATCATTTCCTGAACTCGGCCCTCTCTGGTCCCTCACCAGTCCAGCCGAAAAATGAGTTTCCTGCAGAGGTGTGGCGGGGAGCCTCAGGACGGGGGGGACGCTGCACTCGTGCTGGGGACAGGAGGAGCATGTCCCAAGGGGCTGAATCTCCTGGGACAACAGGAACCCATAGGGCAACCGAGTGCTGCTGGAGGCTGCAGGCCCCCGCACGGGGCAGCTCTGCGGCTCCCTCGCTGCTGCTGTGAGGGACAGTGCCTGGGGAGGCTCGGGGAGCTCGCACGGTGCTTTGATGTCAGGAACCAGCCAGCCTGATTTCAGGAACCTGCAGCCAAGCTGCCCCACCCTACCTACAAGCATATTCCTGCCTTCCTCTCGTGTAACACACAGGCTGAAGCGTACAGTGGGCATTTTCTCCACTTTCCCATACTTTTGGGAATGAAGTGAGTGTTTGTGCTTTCCTGTTGCAATAGCATGCCACCCATTTCACAGAACGTGCGGAGGTTTCCCTCGGTGGCTTTGGTTTGTACAAAAGTCATGTCAACAAAGAACAAAGTAGCCTCCTGCCATACAGCTAGCCCCTTCCTCCTAGCTGTGGATCCCAAACCTGCTTTGTGAGGTGCTGCTGACAGAAGGGTTAGGGTTAGGGTTAGGGTTAGGGTTAGGGTTAGGGTTAGGGTTAGGGTTAGGGTTAGGGTTAGGGTTAGGGTTAGGGTTAGGGTTAGGGTTAGGGTTAGGGTTAGGGTTAGGGTTTGTACGTGCTCCCAGCTGCTACAGGCAGTGGTGGCAGGTAGGTACACTGTTAGGAGAGGGGCAGCATCAAAGTTTGCTTGGGAAAGAGTGGGGCTTTTAGGAAATGCCTCCCTGGCATCAGCTGGAAGAAATGAGAGGGTGACGGGGACACACGGGGCCACCCTGTCAGCTTGTGGGTGAGCAGGGCAGCACCCCGTGGGGTGAGTCTCTCCCCTCCGGGGGAGGGGATGGGCCCAGCCCCTCTGCTTCATCAGTTAGCCGAGCCACAAGCCTCGAACGGCTTTCACTAGCCCGTCCCCGGTAAGGGCCATGCCGGCGGCGTGTTTCCAGAAGTAATTCCGAGGTCCGCGTTGGCGGAAGCCTCGCTCACAGCCTGGCCGCGGTCCTGCGACGCGCTCCCGGGGCACCCAGCGGGGGACCACCCCTTGCACCGTGCCCCTGCCGCTGCTGCTGCTGCTGCTCCCACCGCCGGTGCCGCTCCGCCCGGGGGCGGGCCGGGGGCGGAGCGGGGCGGAGCGGGGCGCGGAGCGGAGCGGAGGGGAGCGGGGAGCGGGGAGCGGGGCGCGGAGCGGAGCCGAGCGGAGCTGTGCGAGCCCGCCCGGACCCAGCGCGCTCGGCAGCGCCTCCCGCCGCCCCGGCACCATGTGGCAGCCGGCCACGGAGCGCCTGCAGGTAGGCGGCGGGGCCGGCGGAGCATCCCCCGCCCGCGGCAGCGGGACTCTCAGCTGCAACTTCGCCCCCGGCCCGGAGAGGCTGGGGACGGGGCAGGGGGGTGCGGCGGGGCTGCCCCGCGCCCGGTGCCCGCTGCGGGTCCGAGGGGCTGGGGCGCGGGGAGCGCGGCCCCGGGGCTGCAGCGGGGTCCCGGGGGAGCGGGGGTGCCCCGGGGCCGGGTGGCACCGCCGAGTGTGCGGGTCCCGAAGGGTCGGGGAGCTCCGGCCCCGCTCGGCAGGGGTGCTGGCCCCGCTTCTCTGCGTTTTTTTTTTGTTTTTTTGTTTTTTCTTTTTTTCTTTAATGTATGCTTTTATGCAGATTTGCATGTAAATAAAATCAGGGTGAAATCTGAGCCAGGCAGGCGGCGAGAAGAAATCCAACTCACTTTGTAGCTCCGCTGTGTCGACTTCGTTAGTTTCCAGAGCAAGTGTCTGCTGAGAGAGGAGCGGGCATTTTAAGCAAGAACCGGCGGTCTGGCTTAGCTGGCTGCCAGTTAAAGGTTTTTGTGGCTTTTGCAATTGAAATTGAGAGTTTGCTTTGATACCATCAAGCAGAAAATTCAGAGGTTTGGGTTGAGTTGATACTAAAGCCACGCAGAGCAGATCTTTGAGCGTGAATCCCCCCAGCCAGGAACAGGAGCAGTTATTTTTCTCCAAAAGGCGTGCTTTGCTCTAGGACCAGGAGCTTGGTTTGTAGTTGGTTGGAACAATAGTTTGTGGGTTCCAGGACAAATATTATTGTGTAAATTCTTACGGTGTAAATATTATGAACCTTATGTAATATTATTATGTAAACGCATTATTATTTGTTTGTTTCCTCTGCATGAGCCAGAAACCTGTAGGTACCAAAGGCAAGCAGTGTGACCACCTGTGTTATGGTGATCCTGGGCCTGGTGCCGAGGCTGGGGCACCTCTTCCACCTGCACTCCGGTGGGACCGTGCCCCTGGCAGGGCATGTGCCCCCAGGATGCTGTGGGGGAAGGACCTGAGGCTGCACCCAGCACTTGGCACAAAGAGCAGCGGAGGGAGGGGAGGAGAAGGGGAAGGCTGAGCTTAGCAGCGGTGTGCAGGTCTGGGTGGTATGGATGTGTCCCGTTCTTGGATTTCGGTTTAAAGCTAAGATACTAATGTAACAAGTGGGTGATGCTGCCTAGGAGCGCGGGAAAGGCTAATTAGAATCACGTGCTTATGCTGTGCAGAGGAAAGTTGTGAGTGTAACCTTATTCAGCTTCCTTGGGCGTGTGCATCCCGCTGCAGTCCGCGACAGCCCACAGGGATGAAGTTATCGTGTCCCGTGCCCATGCAGGCATCTCTCCCTTGGAGCGCATGGGGAAGACCACGTGCTGCCGGGAACCTGGGCTGCCTGAGGGGGGGACACGCACCTCGCTTACCTGTTGCAGTGGGATTGAGGTGTAGGGGAGGCTGTGCTCGTGGGAGGCAGCCAGGAGCCCCGAACCGCTCAGCAGTGGTCACTGATCTTGTGCAACTTACTGTTGGTTGCCTCTAGCTGGAGCCTCCGGGCATCCTGAGTCTCCCAAGATGCTGAGTCTGTAACTGTGGTTCTTGCTACTGGGAGTTGCTGGGGAAGCGTATTAAGAGCTGTAGGTGCTGTCAAAAACAAGCCAGAGGGATCCAAACCTCCCAAATTAAATGACATTTTGACTTGTGCTACTTACTGGAATGAGAAGGGGAGAGCTTTGAAAGAACCTCAAGAAGCCATTAATAGTTCTGTGTTCACATGAGGTTAAATAAAAACATAGTGAACAACAGGCAAAATGAGTGCAGTGAGCACCACCAAGGAGGAAGGCTGCTCTGAGTCACTGGGATGCAATCACCTAATTAAAAGTTGGATTCTAAGGTGTACACACACAAGCCAGAGTTGCGTTGGCAATAGATTATCTAATATTCCCAACTTTATTAAAAAAAAATAAAATTGAGATGTGGTCATTTCTAAGTAGCCTGATCTCTGTGTTTGTCTCCAAGAACCACCACACATTGTGCATCACCAGCCTGGCCAGAGCTGCTGGCAGCGCTGCCTGGCCCTCCCACAGGGAGCCTGTGCAAAGCAATAAATACGTGTTTTTTCCCTTCTTTCCATGTCAACATCTTAATCCAGTTTCAGGTGTCCTGTGTCCTTCTCCTTGTCCCCAGGCTCCCTGTCTCCTGCCACCCAGCTGCTGTGAAACAAATCTCGGTGCCACCAGGGTACCGCGAGGGGGGCCCCACCTCGTCCCTGGTGTTTCCCCGTGGCGTGGGTGGGAGGGTGCTGGGCATGGGGTTTGGGCTGCAGCAGGGGAGGCTTTGGCTACTGGGGCACTGGGTAGAGTCGATGATGTCCTGTGGTCTCTGTTCACATGTTCTGCAGTTACGTGCCAGTCATGCCAAGATGCAGCAGTGTTTGGGGGATGTATATGGCAGGTTCCAGCTCTGTCTTTTGTAGGCTCTCCTTCAAGCTGATGTATGGGTGCAGAGAGCATGGAGCTGGGCTTTCGCGAGTTGTATGTGGTGTCACTGTGACTCAGATGCATCTTGCGTCAGTTTCCAGCTGTGCCAAAGTGCAGGTCTGTTATTAGTCTGTGCTGTAGCTCTGTGCTAAGTAAAACGGCAGTGAAAATATTTTCATCTTTCTGCATATTTCTTTTGGCCTGGTTTAGTAAGAGACTGTGAGCCGACTTTGGAAGTGGCTGCCTGCTGTCCTGGGTCAGCCCTGCCCTCCTTGCTGAGGACAGCGGTGTGTGGTTAGCTGAGAAGGGCACACTCGTGGCAGCGTGCAGACACCTGCCTCCTTCTGGGAAGGGTGCAGTGGTTGTCTACTGCTTGTGGGTCTCCTTTCCTTAGTCCCACCTGGTGTGCAACAGGGCTGCATGTTCCTGCTCTTTGGCTGTTCACGTAAAAGCTGCTGTTGTTCCAAATGTGCTCAGTCCTGTCAAGTTTCACAGTTTGTGCTGAAGTTTTTGGCCTTGGCTGTGCATGTACAAAAATCCCAGCAGACTCCCAGTGTAGTTCCCAATGGAATTAAATGGAGTAGAAGAATAAGCAAGAGAAACGTAAATATCTAGGTTTCTGGAATTTCCTTGAAAATGCAATACCGCTTTTTCTTCTTTGTTTCTTCCCCTTCCCCTTCCGCCATTCTTTTACCTATAGCAATATCTCGGCCGCGTGCATTTTCCCTAAAGTCTGTGGGACTGTTACTTATGTGGGACACTGCAGGGCTAGGACACTGCTCGAGTATACCATAGGGTCCAGTCGCTCTGGTGTGCTATGTAAGAAGGCTGTGATTTTACAGGTAATACAGGCAAGAGCATTTTTCATGCTCAGTGTAAAAGGGATGATCTTTGTGTCTCTTTTGAAAACTTTTTCTGTTCTAATTTTTGCGGCAGCACTTCTCGTTTGTGTTCAACTTAATGCTGGTGAAAGCAGAGGACTTGTGCGTGCCCTGCCTCTGTTGGAGTCCTCGCTGGGAGGTGCAGCACATATATAAGCACTGGTCCGCTGGTTGTGATCACTGGGCTCCAGCTGTGGGCGCCCTGCGCCCTCTGTGCATGGGTCTGATCATGCCATTTGTGGCAGAGTTTGTTGGTAGTCGCAGGCAGTGCCGCCTGATTTTTGGCTTGATGTTTGCTGTGATGGCACTGGTTGAAATAAAGCCAAAACTCTTCTGAAATCCGTATTTAAAATTAATTCCAAATGTACCCTCTGCGTCTGGTTTGGGACGCGAGGGTCGCAGCTGGGATTTCGGAGCTGCTGGCCACAGTGTTGCTCCCGTGAGGGCTCTGAAGTGGTTTTTGAAAACAACCAAGGTCTTAGTGCAGTTCCATTTGCCTGTCTGTGAGATGACTGGTATTTGCTTTGAAACCTAAATTTTCCTGGAAGCTTGATGCCAGACATTGTTTCTAGATAATAAATCCCTGAGGGTGCATAGTTTCCGAGTTCAGGCTGTCCGTAAGCCCTGTTTATAAGTCTTCCTGCTTCTCCTAGCACGTGTGGGCAGAGGATCGCTGTGTCCAAATACATTTCCTTCAGGAGTAGGGGATGCGGCGGTGCTGTAACCTCGAGTGTCCCTGAGCGGAGCTGTGCCGAGCTCTCATTGTGGAAATAGCTCTTGCTTCTGTCCTGTGCGTGGTACCACTGGTGGCCTTTGAGAAGTGGTGGTGCCTGCTGCCATCATTCTGTGTTGCATCTCTGCCTTTTGGATGCTTTTCTAGGGCAAGTGGTCGCCTCTGGCTAATCAGTCCCTTGATTTCTGCCCCGTGCTACTGGAAGGCAGCCAGAGTCCCCACACCCGTGCGGTACGCTGCACGGGGCTTTCCAGTACTCAGAAAATATCCCCTACCACCTAGGGTAAACATCAAACACCTTTCCTGTGTCAGCAATACGGAAACTGTTCCCTGAAGAAAGGCCAGCTTTGAGCAAAGTGGCACATGTGATGGCTTCAAGGTAATTGGGTTGTGGTGTGCGTGTCTCTGCCACTGGTTTTACGGCAACGTTTGTATCTGTGAGGTGTAATGTGGTGCTGTCGGTGCTTTCAAATCAGCTTCTCATCTTGATATTATATTTGTGGTGTTCCGATGCACGTCTACTGCAAATGCGCTGTGCAGTCAGTTGAAGCAGTGTTCACATTTTTAACAGCATATGGAATAACTCCTGCTTAAAACCAACACAAACAGATTGCAAGTGTAAAGCATACAAACAGCTGTCTAGACAGAAACTGCTGCAAGACATGTATAGCGGGAGTGATACTACTACTGAACTCTGGTTTTATTAAATATTATGTCAGAAGGAAAAAGTGAAAAGTATTTGAAATTTAAGCTGAAGTCATGTGGATGCAAACGTCCGGGACGTCTCACAGCACAGTGTTTTGGCATTATATAGCTACAGGATATTTTTCAAGGCATCAAAGTTTTTATGCCAGTTTGCTACTACGACTTTGCAGCAGTCAGAGATCTTTCAAACAAAGCTCAG